AAAAAAAAAAAATCAGTTGTCACAAAAATGAGGTTTGAGCGAAACCGCTTTTATGAAAAAATTCGCTGACCAGAGAGAACCTCCCAGCGACCCACTGGGTACAGTTAGCTCAGAGTGAGTTGATAGCAGGAAAGTCGCATATTAAGAAAGCTCAACTCCGCCCGGGGCAATCCTAGTCTTTTGGGTACCCCCTCGTATGCTAGGAACAGTGACCTGGAGCGGACGATGGTCGGCTTGGTCACTGCCCTCTACCTCCTCAGACATGAGCCCTAGGGCTCAGTTTTGGTTTTTTTAAACACCTGTGTAAATAAGTGCTGTGCGTGGCCGAGTGCCATTTAAACATGATTTGTGCACTGAATCTATTCATTTTGCTAATATTACTGGCCCACTAGATGCTGGTTACCGTCTCCGCGTCTCGTGTGTGTTTCATCAGCTAGTTGCAGTGTTTGTGTCCCGAGTGTCGTGCTGTCCCTAGAAACGCCCACATGAAGTGCGAAAGGTTGAAGCAGGCGACTCCTGCTGGCCTGCAGGGGCTCAAGGCTGCGCTGCTGCTGTCACTCCTGGCCAGGAGAAGGACTCTCAGAAACGGAAGGAGACCAGCCCCTCCTCCTGCTGCACTGAGTGATTGTGCCCGACTCCAGCCAAAATCGCCAGGAAATCCGGTTCTGTTTTATTTTGACTCCCGTAAACTGGAGCTAGGTGTTTTACACTGTAACCTGCCAGTTCTGACCTATGTTCTTTTCACATCAAGTACTTCTCGAATACCTGCCTTTACTCTGTTACCCCACCTCCCCACGCCCCAGGGCCAGCTCCAGGTCTTATGGAATAACCTGATCTAATCTGAGGATGTGCTTTCCGGTCTAATTTACAACAGCCACCCACCGGTCCCTACTCTCCCCCACCCAGAACCAGGTCTTCCATGCAACTCTGCCTTGGGTGAGGGGCTTGGGGGCAAACACTGAAGTTGGGAGCCAGGTGGGCATGAGGCCGAGTGTGCAGTGGGCCATTCCCAGGGGCCCCATGTACTAATCCAGCACTAGCATGCATAAGCAACTATCGGACTGGTTCAGGGAACTGCATCCCCCACTGCTGGCTCAGCTACTGGTCTCTGTTGTAGTGTTGGCCATTTTATGATTTGGGGCTGGGACTCTGAGAACAGGTGGCCCACTCGGTTGCCTTCACATACAGAGGGACCCTGATAAGCCAGAGCACCGTCGGTGGAGGGAGCCCAAGTAGCTAGGGCATTTGAGGAACTGTGGAAGACGCTGATTGGTTCCCTGTGTCTGGAAGGTTCTTGAGGGCACTCATCTTTAGCCACATGAGGACGGTCAGGTACAGAAGGGCGCCGACTTACCCAATGTGCTCCAGAGGCTGGAGCCAGACTGCTGAAGCCTGAGCCTCCCTCCATTTCGTTCACTGTACCCCCTGCCTCAGTGGAACTCTTCATGGCTCAGGTACCCCTCGGTGCTCATGTACAAGGGCGCTTCAGACGTTTTGCTGGGAAAATGGAATTAAAAGACAATGGCGTTTCTCCATGAACTCTTTGAAGCCCCCTCCTTGTACAGAAGGAGTACAACTTGGTGGCAGCCCTTTAAGAGCTTGCAGTTCAGCGACAGTTTCTCACAGAGGGAGGGGCGCTAGGGGGCGAGCATGGCTGCTAAGAAACACTGGGACAAGGCAAGGGGCCCAGCTGAGTTCACAGGCAGAGCTGCAGGAGCCGGAGTAGACGTTGGAGAACAGGAGGACCTACTTGGGCAAAGACTGGGTGCACAGAGGGGGAGCCCAAGCTGGGTGTGTAGATAACTGGCTTTCCAGGTGACCTCTAAAAGGGCATCCAGATTTAGGGTTCTATAGGTCCTCTGGCCAAACCAGGTTTCTGTAACTCCTGCCTCAACCCCCAGGTGCAGTTCCGGCTGGCCTCAGTTCCTGTCTGGGGATAACTCATGGAGGATGGGTGAGCACAGCCTCCCATACCCTCCCCACCCCCCACCCCCAAGGTAGAGCTGGCCTGTTACTCTCCTCTCCGGCCAAGGGCCCAGGACTCCCTCCATGCCCCTTCTGGGGATCAGTGTGGTCATTCCATTCAGAGGGCTGGCTTGGCATAGTAAGAGCTGCCTTCTCTCCCTAGTTTCCGCCACCCAGCCCTCTGCTCCCCAGTTTCTTCAAGAGGACTTGCCCTGGGCCAGGAAATGCCTTCCACCACCCCCTCCTCTTTCCTACCCCAGCCACTGGCCTCTGTGTACTCAGCCTGCCACCAGATCACTTGAGCTTCGTTTTGCACCCAAATTCCTTCCAGTCCGCTCCTGGTGAAATTGGGTCTTCCCCCCTGGGTGGAGGTGGGGAACAGAAGGAAGCTGTGTGAGCAGAATCCAATGTCACCTTCTTCTTGGGCCCTGCCTTCATCCTGCCTGGGTACTTTGAGAGCTCAGCAAAGACCCTACTCCTGTGTCTGGGGAAAAGTTCGAACACTGACAGCCAGCCGGGCTGTGGGAGAATAACTGGGCTTTCTGCTCTCCTAAACAGAAACCCACAGGGGGGCGCTCTGAGTCAGCGGGGAGTTGGATTTTTTTTGTTGGTGTTGAGTGATGCTGAGGGTTGGAACTGCCCCTAGGGTTTCCCAAAGCTGGACATCTTTCCAGAACAGACTGATCCTTTGCTGCCAGAACAGCTGGTACATGCGAACTGCCGGTCTTTCAGTGAACAGCCCGATGTTTACCCCACTGGGACCCCAGTGCCCTCATGTTGGAAGGACCCTTTTTTGCCATGGTACCACTAGGGTTTCAAGGTCACTTTCCACTGAGTGAAAATGGAGCTGGCCCTGCGCCCCAACCTCTGGTGCTAGTCCAATATTGCTAATTCTCCTCTTGATGAGGGCGCAGCCCCTGGAGTCACCACAGGCAATCTGGAGAGGGTGTGAG